ACACCAATAAAACATATATTTAAGAAAAAAGTTTCCAATACCTATCAAGGTAAAATGCACAGTGTCTGACATCCGGCCACACTATCAGGCATGCAAAGGAGCAGGAATATAATGATTTGTAATGAGGCGAAAAAACAACAACAATCAATCAAAACCAACCTAGCACTGACACAGATGTTAGCATTGGCAGACAGTGGCATTAGAACAATTATTATTATAATATAATTTCATATGTTCAAAACATTAACCAGAGACATGGAAAACAGTTTTTAAAGACTCAAATTGAATTTATAGAGATGAAAAGTACAATGGCTGAGATGAAAAATACACTGAGTAGTATTAAGGGCAAATAGAAATTTCAAAAGAAATAATTAGTGAATGTGAAGACAATAAAAACTATCCAAAATGGAACACAAGAGAAAAAAATTCAGAATTTAAAAGCCTTAATGAGCTGTGTGACATCTTTAAGGGGCCCTTATATATGTGTAATTACACTTATATAGTCTTCAAAGAGTCTTCAAAGAAGAGGAAAAGGAGCAAAAACATTTAAAAAACATTAGCCAGAAAATCCTTACATTTTATCAAAACTATAAATTCACAGATCCAAGAAGTTCATGAGCCCAAGCACATGAAAAATGAATAAAACTAAGCAAAAGCACATCACAGTCAATCTTTCAAAACTAGGGATAAAAAGAAAATCTTAAAAGCAACCAAAGGAAAATCACTATCTATAGAAGTGTGCGTAGAGTGTCAGCAAACGTGTTGTTGGAAGCAATGCAAACAGAGGCTGCAGAATGGTATCCTTGAAGTTTCTAAAGAAAAAAACTAGAACGCTATACTCACAGGAAATGTCTTTCAACAAATAAAGGTGCTACAGACATTGTCAGAAGCACACAAGGTGAAAAGAATTCATGTTTAGTGTAATACTCTAAGCAATAAAAAAAAAATTAAAAAAAAGACTTCACGTTTAGCAAATCCACACTACAATATATGTTAAATGAAGTCCTTCAGGCAAAATAAATTTGATACCAGATGGAAATGTGGACCTACAAAAAGGACAAAAAAACACCAGAAATAATAACTATTTTGGGCACCGACTATGCACACCCAGTCTGATTTCTCAGTTGGAATGAGTAGAGCAAATTAGGTAAAGTTCTCCAAGGTCTGATCATGGTGAATAGAGCTTTACTCATTTGAACGTTCTTGAACATCTGCTTTGAACATTCTTATTAATCTCTTTTTATGAATTTAATATGTAAATTGCAGAGGCTGTGGAAAACTTGTCATTTTTAGTGAATAGAAAAATGTTTTGTTCTGAATTTACACTGACCACATACTTCCTGGTAACAACAGACTAACTCATTTATTATTTATTTATTTAATTGTGGCCAAAGAGTTGGCATAGCGTTTCTTGGTCTTTTAAAAAAATCTTTATTGTTGAGAGTATTAGAGATGTCCCCCATTTTTTCTCCCCATTGCCCCCTCTACCCGGTCCCCACCCCACTCCAGGCCTTCACCATTATTGTCTGCATTATGCTAAACAAAATAAGCCAGTCAGAGAAAAACAAATATCACCTGATCTCACCTATATGTGGACTTGAGTGAACAAAATAAGCTGCTGAATAAAATAAAACCAGAGGGATGGGAACATGAAACAGACTGAGGAATCTAGGAGAGAAGAGTGGGTGGGTGGGGTGGGCAGGAAGAGATTAACCAAATAATATGCATATATGCTAACTCACATCTTGAAATCTTTTTAATCAATAATTCTGGAACAGGATGCAATGAATTAAGATTGGTCAATTCACAAAGAAAAGCAATTTCTTTCTATAAGATTACAATCTCAAACTTGGAGCTGGCACCGTGGTTCTTGTCTCTTCCCCATATGAAACCCCTCTCATTGCTTATTTTGAGGGAAGCATTCCATTTAGTGTTCTCCCTACTGCAGCATCCTGAATAAAGAATTCATTCACTTGCAAAAACAAAACAAAACCTATATCATTTTTTAAATTAAATTCTATTGGGGTGACAGCAAAACAGACAGATAGCCAACCAGATGTGAGATGGTATTTGCAAATAGTAACTCCGACAAAGGTTCAATTTCCAGAATATAAAAAACGTGTTAAACCTAACACCAACCAATTAAACAATCCAATCAAAAAGTGGGCAGAGGGCCTGAAAATACACCTCTCCCAAGAAGACATACAAACAGCCAATAGACATATGAAAAGATGTTCAACCTCACTGGCAATGAAGGAAATGCAAATCAAAATTACAATGAGATACCACCTCACACCTGTTAGGGTGGCCATTACCAACAAGATGAGCCATACCATTTTTAATGGGAAAAATGATAGAATAAAACAATTATTTTCACAAATCATATAACAATTTAAAATCTGCCTGTAGGTCATTCTATTATTTCTGAATAATGAATATTTTAATTAAGATAGCAGTCTTCCCTAATTTCTTTACCACCTATGCAAATTTCTTGAGTGGACACTCTTTCTAATGATCAATCCATTGGACTCAACCTGCTTATTTTGATACTATTGTCTTTAAACTCTGTGGGTACCAAACTTTTTTGGGTTTCCTTCCTTTCAACTCTAAAAAATACTATAGGATCAAACTCCTTTTCCATAGTTTATGTTAATTATTAGTTAGTGTTGGCATGTTCCCAACCTTTAATCACTGTTCACATATGTCCACTTCTCCTTGGGAATATCAACCATTCCCAGAGCTTTAGGTAGCACAGACAACCTGGTGACTCACAAACATGTATGTCCCCAGTGCTTCAGATAAACATGTCCAGCAACCTTTTGCACACATTTAAAAGGATTTTCCATGAACGTTTTATATTAACATGTCCAAGATAGGAGGAACCATGTTTCTCTCTGACGCGTGTCTCTTTTCCTCTTTTTCTTATTTAAGGTAATGTGTAATGCAAGCATTACTCAAGACCCCCTTGTTAGAAAGTTCCTAGTCATTCATGGCTACTCCCCAAATTTCCAACCTAAAAACATTCTGCTGGTTTTTTTTACACTTAGATATAATCTTAATGTCATCCACTTTTCTTTAAACCACTTCCCTAGTTTTTCCCTTCAGCATCTTTTTTTGGTGTTCTACCTGATTTGTCAGCTTAATTTTACAGCCTTGAATCAATCTTCCCTCTAACAATCTGAGTGATATACTGTAGCATGTCATGCCCTGAGTAAAATCATTCAATGTCTCCCCATTGCCCAAGCTCCTTCGGTTCCTTAACCTCATCTCACACTAGTCTTCGATTCACTTTTGGGAACCAAGCTCCAGATAAACATTTCTCTGTTTCTCTGGCAAATCCTGTGGTATATGACCTTGTTTTTTTTAGTCTGAACTCTGCTGCAATCTTAATGCTAACCTTTTCTCTGCTTTGCAATTTCTCTCTTTAGTTCAGGTTTCACCTCATACTGTCAGCTTTTCTTGACTCTTCCTCATAATCTTTTTGGTTAGGTGTGCTCATGGAAGCTTTTGCATATTTCTGTTACTTCAATTATACAGCATGTGATATATGTGTTTAGATGCATGTTTATTTCTGTGATTCTGAGGTAAACAATTTTTAAATCATCATGCCTAGCAATGTCCTTGGCACACAGTAGTGGAGCAATAAATATTTATTGAAATGTTTTCAATGATAAAAAAATGATTGTCCTGATGATGCTCAATAAAGCTTATTATATTAATGCCTATGCAATAAAGGATTATCCTGAAGAAAAAAACACACACATTAATATAACCATTCTCTTAAATAAATTACTTTATATACATATTTGATTTAATAATTTTATGTTGGGAAGGCAGTCATGTAGGAAGCAAAAATATGTCTAGAAAAATGAACGTTTTAGAAAGAAGGGATCTTTGATTCCTATAGAGGTATGTACATTTTAATATTAAGGTTACTTTTATCATCAGTAATGTTTTGGAGTTCTGTCTCCCCAGTTTAATTTGGTTTAATGATATATTGCCAGAGATTCAATTTTCACAATTGTATTCTCTTTCATAGAAACAAAATTATTCCCAGGGCCTATGATTTCAGTAGCTATTATGTGTTTGTAGATAATCAGCTAGTCTTACTCCATTATTCTTTATCAACGTGAACAACTGTATGCATTTTTTATCATCCTGGTTTGATTTAGAAGTGCAATTTCTAAATAAAAGCCATTAGTGTTTTATAGATTAGATGACAAGAAAAGGACATTCCACACACACAAAAAGCATAATTGGAGCTGTCAGATTTGTCATATCCTTACTATATATGCCATGGAGTGCATCAAAAAATCACCAGTAGAAAAAAACTTAACCTGAGTATATATAATATACATGTATAGTTATATAAGATCATTGAAATTACATTTTCTTCACTGAAATGGTTTCCTGAAATATTGTTTCTAGCCATCATGACCATTGCTATGGTCATTACAATTTTATATATTTGTAGCTAACTCTCAACTCAATCTAAGCCTTATTTATTTTCTATATAAAAATAAGTAAAAATAACATTAAATTTCTCTGACTTTGTGATAAATAACTGAAATGACTACTTCATAGAGAGACACATTTTGCTAAAGTATATACAATTGCATTATGTAAGATTCAGGCAGCTTAATTGAGAATTGATTATCCAGCTTTTACTATTATAAGAGCCTATTTTATTTGTCTTCAGGGAACAGAATACACAGTGAGATTTTTTTTTAAAATGGATTACATTTACTCCAGGCAAATTGTTTGATAGACTATTATTCAAACATACTACTTCACAGATGTTAATCAATAAAGGAAAAGGGCATTTTCTCTTTATAAAACAGCTTTTACAACTAAAGATAACCTTAATCATCTGATTTTTTGAGGTAATAATATCAAAGAATTTCTGAATATTAATATTCTAATGTTTGTTCAATGTCTGCCTTTAACCCTACGCTTATGTGCCACAAGCAATCTATCTGCAGAAATTATTGCTTTCTTACCTGGAATGAAGTAATTGGATATATGTTAACATGAGCCTCATTCCATCGTTGTCCTTTATTCCCACTCGAAGACCACAGTGGGTTCTCCATTGTTGTCTGCCCTTTCAAACGTAGATAAACATTTAAAACACCTAAAAATAACAATGAAATTTTATTTTATACATTTGTTTTTGCTTCAAATGTGTTTCTTCTTGACCACTTTAAAAATGAAATTTTGCAGAAAATCTATTGCCTCCTCCACTCTTCCCCTCTCATTGCCAATCTTGCTCTGATTGGCATGTGTGGCAGGCCTCCAAAAATGACAGCCCCCAAACCCCTAGAACCTGTGAATGTTACTTTATCTGACATTGCAGGTTTTGCAGGTGTGATTAAGTTAAGGACCTTGGATGGGAAGATTATTTTGGATCATCTTGTGGGTCCTAACAGTAATCACATATATCATTATAAGATGGAGGCAGAGGAGATGTGATGCAGGGGAGAAGGTCACATGAAAGGAAGAGAAGGTGCTCTGCAGCTTCATCTGAAGATGGAGAAGGATCCAGAGCCAAGCACAGCAGCCTCCAGAAGTTAGAAAGGGCCAGGAAACCGATTCTGCCCTGCAGCCTTTAGAAGGAACCAGCCCTGTGAACACTCTGATTTTAGCCCCATTATACTCATTTTAGATTTCTGTCCTCTGGAACTGTAAGATAACAAATTTGTGTTCTTTTCAGCCACAAAGTTTGGGGTAATGTATTTGTTTCAGTAGCAATAGGAACTACGATAGCATGTAGTCATGTACTCACTTGCCTAACTTTCCTGAAGTCTGACTCTAATTGTTCCTAATATTATTAGTTAGCTACTCTTTTTAAGTTCACTTTATCCAAGTCTCATTTTTCTTCTAAAAGTTATTTGAAATAAAAATAAAAATAGCTTTGCCCCATGATTTGATATACTTCTTTCAACAGTGTCATGTCCTGCTCATAGTAATAATAGTAATGATAATGATATATGTGTTGAATACTTCAGATAAAAAATTATTCCTCTCAACAATCCTCTAAAGTTCTTACTATTACCTCCATTAGAGAACACTACTCCAGGGCATCCTCCTAACTGCTGTGAAAGAGCCTTTTGGTTTTCTTCATGTTGCCAGGAATATACGTAGATGAGGTCTCTTTAATATGGCTTAAACTTCAGTATTCCCTAATGCTCTTCTTACAGGACTCTTTGACCTCCCAATCTCTGTTCTGCTGTCAACTCCATAAGCTGCTCTGTTGCTATCATGTAAGCATTGGTTTTTTTCTAATCTTAATACAAAAATAGACTAGACTTCAGGCAAAGACTCATGAGGAACCCCATATAAACTTCTCGAGTCAACTCTGCGCTCCTCCCTTCTTTCTGTTAACCAGACTCATGGATTCTAACTACTTCAGGTGCCCAGCACTCTGATCTCTGCCTCCTGAACTCAGTGGGATCTCCACATTCTGCTCAAATTTCAGGGCCCTGTGCCAGGCCCAGGAAATTGTCCTCAGGCAGAGAACTGGACTCCTATAGAGATCTCTTCATTCCTATTATTTCATACATCTCAGTTTTGCCCTACCTCTTTTTTAAGAAAATATTTTTTGAAAACAGTTAATAGATTTTTGCCATTTTAGTAGTTGTTTATGACAGTAAAATGTATCTGGAAAAAGTTACTACTGATTGGCTCCATATGCCCTAATTTTGATAACTTTTGTATTATCCCATATAATAAAAGCCTAACATGCAAATAGACCGGATGGCAGAACAAACAGTGGAACGACCGGTCGCTATGACACACACTGACCACCACGGGGCAGATGCTCAATGCAAGAGCTTCCTCCAGCCCGCAGGGCCCAGGTCAGCAGAGGCAGGTGCCAGCGGGGCCTTCTGATCACCCTGCTGCCAGTAGCCCGCAGTAACCAGCAGTGGCTCCGGGGGCGGGGCTGACCAGAGAGTGGGCAGTGGGGGGTGGGGTCAGCCAGCAAGGGTGCCAGGCTGGCCAAGGTGGGTACCGGCAGGGGGTCCCCCGATCACTCCACTGGTTTGTCCCACAGATTGGTCCTGATCTCCAGCCAGGCCTAAGGATCCTACCCGTACATGAATTTCATGCACTGGGCCTCTAGTTATTTATATGTTTACAGACATCTTAGTATATATATTTGTTTATATAAATATTGCATATAAACACTGAAAAGCAGAAAATATAATATAAAAATCACCATTAAATTGACAATTCAGTGGTAGGTAGCCTCCTTAATATTTTTATGTATATTCCTTCAGGTATTTTTAAAATGTATATATACTGCTGTACAGTTATATGGTATACAGAAGTTTATCTTTCAGATTTTAAATGCAATTTTGTCTAACTAATTGTTTATACATAAGATCACACATTCATACATATTATACACATATAGAGAAATATAAATACCCACTTTTGAAATGACAACAAAAATGCATTCTTCACATCACAGCTGCCACTTACTAGCTGAGTGACCTTGGCTTAGTCTAGCTGTGGGCAAACTACGGCCCGTTTGAAATGAATAAAACTAAAAAAAAAAAGAGACCGTACCCTTTTATGTAATGATGTTTACTTTGAATTTATATTAGTTCACACAAACACTCCATCCATGCTTTTGTTCTGGCCCTCCGGTCCAGTTTAAGAACCCATTGTGGCCCTCGAGTCAAAAAGTTTGCCCACCCCTGGCTTAGTCTCTTAATCTTTCATCTCAGTTTTCTTATCAGGTAAGTGATGATGATAATAATAACTAGTATAAGGTTCTTGTGAGAATTAAACTGAGTTAAAGTATGTAACAATTATGTCTCATTCATAGTCTTCACAATGTCTTATTATTAGCTATCAAGATATTAAAATGACATTTCTCTATATTGATGCAATTTATTATATTAGTACGTTTCTTAATGAATGTTGAACTATGACTATTACAGGAATACATTTCACTTGGTAATGAACTGCCACTCTCTTACTATACTTGATTCAAGTTGCTAGTATTCTATTTGGGAATGATGCATGCACATCTATAATAATAAAAGCATAATATGCTAATTAGACCAGACAGCTTTCTGGACGACCTTCCAGACAAAGCTGGGACTGTGAGGGCTGTGACAAGCTGCCACAGCTGAGAGGGCCGAGCTCCTTACAGGAATTTCGTGCATCAGGCCTCTAGTCGGTATATATAAAAGCCTAAGCAACCGTTATGATCTAACGACAGGAATGACTGGAACAACTGGTTGACCAATCACTCTGATGCACACTGACCACCAGGGGGCAGACGCTCAATGTTGGAGCTGACTCCTAGTGGTCAGTGCACTCCCACAGCCAACCTCCTGTGGTCCCTCCCCGTGGACAGCAGGCCCTGATTGGCCCACCACCCACCCACCGAAGTAGCTGCACAGCAGCAAGGGAAGGAGGGGGTAGGCGGGAAACCACGTGTTGGTGGGGCACCAACGGTGGTGTTGGTGTCTGCTGTCCGTTCATTCTGCTCCCGGCCTGGCGACCATTGCCTCCTCTCCCGACCCCTTTGGGGCCTTTGGGCCCCAGGCTCAGACGGGGAACTGGGGGTGGGTGGTGGCTGACACAGCCCCTTTCCCAGGGGGGGTCAAGGGCTGGCTCCCTCCTCAGGGCTGGTGGCCAACCTCCTGCACCCCGTCCCTCCCTTGATCGCTGGCCAGGCCTAGGTACCCAACCCATGCATGAATTCATGGACCGGGCCTCGAGTTTATAAATAATATTCTCTAGTTTACTTTTTGTTTTATCTTTCTATGTTGCATGTTCACTTTTTGCCTCAGAATCTATTATTTTCTATCTATTTTTCCCTTTAATGTAAGAAATAATTTTGGCTTGTCCTCCACAGTACTAATTTTATTTCCCACAGTGTGCATTCTGCTTTTTTGTCTCTAATGTCATCTTTATTTAGTTATTGTATTATTGTATGTTGTCTTCTTTTCTGATCTCATCAAGCTCCCCTTTATTCTAGTTATTTATCCAGTTCCTTCTTTTCCTCAGTCTATTTTTGTATCATTCTTATCTTTTATTGTTTCATAAAGTTAATATTCATGTGCATTTTATTGAAAACACAAAACATGTACTATACAAATTTTCCTTTCACCTGAACTATCATTATGCCTTTTTCTTTTCCTTTTTAAAATTAAATTTATTGGGGTGACATCAATTCAGTATGCCTTTCTCAACATGTTTGCTTCCTTTACTATAGGCATATTAGCTTGGTTTGCACTGTGGATTTTTTAAAATCCTCATTCAAGGATATATTTATTGATTTTAGAGAGAGGAAAGTAAAGAGAGATGAGAGAGAAATGTTGATTTATTGACTCTTGTTTGCACCCTGACTGGGGACTGAACCCGCAACCTATACGTATGTGCCATGACTTGAAATTGAACCCATGACCTTTTGGTGTAAGGGACAACACTCCAACCAACTGAGCCACATTGATCTGGGCTGTACTGTGGAATTTCATTAGAGCTTTATATTCTCTCTCTTTTACTCTCACTCTCATTTTCTTTTGCTTTATTTGTCCTTAAGTAATGCTAAGTCGTCCTGTGGCATTTTTTCTCAAACTACTATTGGAACTTCTTTTTTATACACATAATAAGTTAAATTTTGTTAGCTCCTCCTCTAAGGTCTAAAGCTGTAGGGCAAGTTAACTGAGGTTTTACTATTACTTTGATTCAAAAATCTGAGACTAGTAGAAAAGCATTTATGCCATTGGGCCATTTAATAGTTGAAATTCCTGGTATTTTCCCACTGTGTGGGTGAGCCATTGTGGCAGGGAACAGATTTCTGACACCATCCCTCTTCCCCTATTTAGGAACTAGGTGTGGTTCAGTTTTTCTTGCTTGTTGGTGCTGGTACCTTGTGCATTAAAAAGTCAACCATGTGCCCAAAGGAAAAGCCACTGCAGAACTTACTTCTGGGTGATGTAATTGCATTCTATTTTTGGAAATTAATCCATAACAGGGGGGAATTACAATGAAATCAAACTCAAATAAATAAAAAAATGTGTTAAACTCTAAATAAAATAATACTTTTTTTAACATATGTGCTATCATGGACTAACAATGTGTTAGCATATTCCTTTCAGAAATTATTTGAAG